TTGATAGGTTCTTGAGAGACACTGTGTAGTATGAATTCTCAAGAAGACTTTGGTTGCAGTCATAATGGTTTGCAATAAGGATCAACAGACTTATTGGGGGTTCTAATAGGGTTGATCGAACTTATTGTGGTTATCTGTAATTTGGTTGATTATAGTGGATTAAGTCTATGTGTATAAGGCAAATCACATTGCGGGGTGGACTGAAGTAACTTAGTTAACAGTGAACCATGATAAAAATAATCGTGTTCATCTATTTTTATTCACTTGTTATCTTTATTTTTGTGTTGCAAAAAGATTATATTTGGTGCAACCCAATTCATACATCTCATTTCTTGTGTTTCTCGTACCTTCACTTAACACTAGAACAAACATGATAACAACGTGGAGAATGGAGTGCAAGTGAGTTAGAAAATTTATTGGATAAAATCAAACACTATAGCACGAAAGCAATATCTAGTAATAAACTAGAATAATAGTCTTAAGACATAAGCAATGTCTAGTAATAAACTAACATAATAGTCCTAAGACATAAGTAATGTCTGATATGATACAATAAGTGGCACATCAGAGACTATTAATGATTCTCTCATATTTCGACTATCTTACACTTTCAGTAGTGTTCTTAAAGAATTTTATCTTTAGATCATATAGTGTGCAAGAAAATTCACAGTAAAGTAATTAAATTTATATAAGATATCATCAACGTAGTGAAATTGATCCAGATAATTTCAATTTACCAACCTAGCATTTGAAATACCAATATTTATATCTACTTCTCTGTGGTCTTTCATTTCAAATCACTTGAACAAAAATGATTTCATTGTTTTCACATCATGAATGTTTGTATTAGATATGAGTAAGACATCTATATAAAGACTTATGAAGGAGTGAATGATATTTTCTAATTTATACTAAATGAATTGCCACTTTCATTCATTTTATCTCATTCAATATAGTCAAATTGAAAATTTTGTTCATGTTATTTCTTATGAGTGATATTCTGTTTACCAGAAGGAAAGATGTCAGACACAATGTCAGGCACAATATGTATGACAAGATAATTACGTAGTAGAAAAAATAAAAAGTTAAATATAAATAACAAAAAATTGGTAACCCAATTTGATGCAAAATCACCTACGTCTAGAGGGTGTTAACCCAATAAAAAGAAATCACTCTTAAAAGTCAAAAGTACAAATTGGTCATAGTTGAACCCTTCTGGTTCAATGCCTCTTTTCCTAATACTACATGTAAATTTCTATTCAAGACTCCCTATACAAAGAACTCCATGATAATAGTCAAAAGTACAATTGGTCTTATCTGAACTCACTTTGTCCAGTGCCACTTTCCTAATATCACCCGTTAAAATTCGATCAGAGCTCCTCCTTAATATGAGACACCTCTCACTTTCATTCAAACACTTGCACAAGTGTTTGGACTATTATAAAAGTATAAGAATAATGAAACAAAGTTACAACTCAAAACAAACTATATTACTTAATATAGGAGTGACACTAGAGAATATAGTTTCACAACAAATACAAGACTAAAATAAAGCTTTCCTATAGAGTAGATATTTTATCTAAAGTTCTATGTCTTTATAAAGGAGATTTCCTCCTTATATATAATAAAAGTCTAGCTCCAAAGCCTTGTAGGGTTTTATCATGAATTCATATGGAATCTCAAAAAAATACATGAGATCAATCTTCAATAATGATGATTGTCAATCTTGATTGATCACCTTGAATAAATTTGAATATCTTGATTATAACAACTTCAATCTTGTTGCATTTTATTCAGATCTTATATCCCAAAATCTCACATAATCAATCAAATATTTATTATAAATATTGAGATCCTAAATCGATATAAATCTTAAACAAATTAGAACTCCAAAAGAAATCTTGCTAAAAACATATATTTTCCAAATCCAAACACATGCTAACACACTTATATCTCCGATGAAACATAAAAGGAAGAAAATTTGAAAGGAAGAAATATACTTCAATTTACCTTGCGATCCTAGCAAACAGTCTGAGATATGTTGAAATAGGATATCCAGGACATTAGGCTCAATATCTTACATTTCACGAAACATCACACAATTGATTATGAGTCTTTATAAACACAAAACTAATACTATTTTTTGTTATCAATATTAATTCCAAGCTCTTGAGTAAGGAATTCAGAATACAACCACTTCTAAAGCTAAACTCTTTATAAATAATCTTTAATAGTGATCGGGGATCTTATCATTAAGTGTAAATATAAATCTTGTAACTAAAACAAATCCAATTAAATCTCTTCATGGAATATTTGTTTCCTTGCATCTTTAATCAATATCTTTGCATATCCAATTTCAGCATAATCTTGAACTAAATAAAACTGAACCAAATCTTCCTTCAAAACATATCCAATTAAATATTTTCTTCAATGCAAATCCATTAAATAAAACATTCTTCATTTAAATCAAATCTAAATATTTTAATTAAATCATATCCAATTAAATCTTCTTCAACCGTTATGGATTATGATTTAATAAAATATTTTTTCAAAATTGATTTTATTTATAATTATTCTTCTAAACACAGTCTTGACAGACTTTTGGAAGAATTAAAAACGAAACAAATATTGAATAAAATTTGAAGAGAATCAGAACCCAACTTGTGCAGTACGCGCGCCAATATGTCACACAATATGTTTACGATAAGTGGCTTACACAATTTTCCAATCAAATCTTTCTTTCAAAGTAACTTCAGCAAAATCTTAGACTCAACAAGCCTGAACCAAATCTTGCAATATCCTCTGAAATCGAACATATAACCAAATGAGCCAAGATGTGCTCAATAACTTTTACGATATCTTGATTTCCATTTTGCTTATTAAAATAAGCCAATCCAAAAGTAATAACAATCTCCCCTTTGATTAATTTTGAGGCAAAACATATATAGCCTATATTAAACATTTCTTCAAAGAAACACTCCACATATATTACACAATCAACTCAAGGAGAAGTGTGATATGCCTTTTTCTTCCCCCCTTTTCCACAAAAGAAACAAAGGACATAGTATCATCCACAACAAAATAGTGGAGAAACGACCAAAGTTATCTAGAACAAAAAAACACCAGAGACACCAACAATGCATCAATAAATCATGCCAATAGACAAAATGTTACACACATTCCTCCTAAAAATCTTCATGACATAATTATCACAGTGCAATGAAATCAAATACCATGTTACCTAAATCACAACCATAAACATGGACTTACAAAACAACATCATATAACTTCTTATGAACACCAGATAGAAGCAACATCCTTTCTGTATAATATTGAAGAATCTTTATCATCTAGAGATGAACTTAATCAAGTTGAGTATGAATACACTAATGAAGATGATGATGGGAAATTAAGATAAAATAATAGAATAATATGCCGCGCATATATAATTCTCTTTACTTGTAGGAACCTTAAGGATCAACAACAAATATAAGACGACAAATCGAACAAATAAAGGCACAAAAGAACCCCGATATTTTTAACGTGGAAAATCCCTCAACATGAGAGTAAAAATCATGATTCATACATACCAAAGAAATAGCTCAACTATAATCAATTGAGGTTACAAGAGAGTCTTAAAGTGATTTACACAATAGTGATAACAACCACATATCACAAAGCAAACTAGCTTACAAATAAGAATAAAAAAACTGAAAAATTACCCAAATTTACAGCTTCAGTGTGAAGCAATTATCTCTGAACTCAAACTTTGTTTCGAAGATCCTAACGGTCAAAAATTAGAAATAGGTGTTGCAAATATGTCAACTAAATTTCAGCTTGATCTGATGGCTAACGAATCGGGGATTGTCGATTTAGTGAGACTGCTGCAGGAAAATCGGGAATGGATTTCTCTCATCGTTTCTCTCTTTTGAATCCTTATTTTCTCTCTATTTCTCTTAACCCTAAATTGACACTCTCCACTTAAATAAATGAGACAAATGAACTATTCATATTTGAATCTTTCTCCACATAGGAAGAAAGCCTAAATCTAACTTATAATATTGTTAAAGGATTGCAATTTTGATTAATTTGAAGATGAAGACAAAAACACTTTTTTTTAACTCAAGAAACTATAAAACTCTTGTTTTTTAAGATAATTTTTTAAATATTATTTTTTTGTGATTTGGTAGATAATTTATATAATTTGATATAACTTTTAAATATTTCACTTTACTACTGTGATATAGTATATTTTTACTTTAAATTAAGTTAAAATTTTAAATTAAGTTAAAATTTTAAATTATATATTGAACTTGGTTCGAGTCATCTAAACTCATTGCGAACTTTAACTATAGCTTAGGATGAATCAATCTCTTGTGATAACTCAAATTTAAAGTGTAAAAAGTTGTGTAAATGTAACCCAAAAAAGGGCAAAGAGTGAGAAGGTTCTACAAGAGGACACGTACTTAACTTAGAGATCTCACCTTAGCTGGCAACTGTTCCAACAGCATCAATAATATCGCGTCCTATATCTTTCTTCCTTCCACACACTCTCTTCTCATCACTCACTCACACGTTTCTTCTTCACCCTTTTTCATCCCCATTTTCTTCTCCAGATCTAACCAAAACCCTCTCCATTCCAAACACATTCAACCCAAAAAAAATTCAAACCACTAAATGAAGTAGTTCATCTTCTGAACTTCACAATGATGGGTTTCAACCCATCCAAAATGGGTACCAAAAACATTCACGAATCGTCATGTAAAAAAAGAGTACAATCAAGAGTCTGGTTAAGCTTCCAAATATCAATGGCTGTCCTCGTGGGTGGAAACCATACATCATCAAGGTTTTGTACTCGCTAAACTCTCCTCTCACTCTCCTCCGGCTTTTCAACTTCTCTCTCTCTCTCTCTCTCAACTTTCTAAATTCATCAAAAATCTTATCTTTTTGATAAACTCACAAAACCCTAGGTCCGAACTGATCTAAAGCTTGGATTTTTCATGGACACGAAGCTCCTGAAATTCCAGATCCTTCATGGGTCAATCCTCTGGCGCGTGTTCTTCCGTTCAATCATGCTAGCAGCTACCATTTCAATGGTTGCTCTCTTTCGCGCTTTATCCGATTTCGATTTGGGAAATTTGGTTCCCATTGCAAACAATTTCAACTGTTTTGCAGATTCAGATAACCCCAGTTCGAATTTCTTTCAGAATCGATTCTGGGGCAACATGGATTGTGAAAAAGACGTGAACTTGACTATGAACGTTGTCACTGAGTTAATGGGTAAGCAGTTTCTGAACTGTGAAGCGAATACCCTTTGTGTTGGTGAAGGTTCTTCAATGGCCGTTAAGGCAATGAAACAGTTGGGTTTTTCAACTGTTAGTGGTGTTTACACCAACCGTTTTTTCACACTCAATATGAAGAGGATTGTCTATGAGTTGGATTATCAAGACTCTTCGTTTGATTTCGTTTTGTCTAGAGATCTTGACAAGGTTTCTGTACCTGCTTTGCTTGTACTTGAGGTTGAACGTGTTCTTAAGCCTAATGGAATAGGTGCACTTCTTGTTGGTGCTACGAGTTCGCATCACAATGATTTGATTAGATCGGCGACACCGGTTTCGTCGTTGTTGAGATCTTCTAGTGTTGTTCATGTTGATGCTATTGATGATGGACTTAACCTTGTTGTTTTCAAGAAAAGATCTGAAAATGTGACAACTTTTTTCAATCACCGTCAACTTAGTTTACCTGCTGATTGTCCTAGTTTGGCATTAACCAAGCCTCTTATAGATCTGATGGAGCCTCTTGTGAGTGAGAAACCGAAACCGTCTTGTGCGAAGTCGGTTTCGTATTTGCCGAAGTTTGTAGATGTTTCTACTAGGAAGAGGTTGGTGTATATTGATATTGGGGTAGGAGAGCTTTTGAATGCAAATGTTAGTGATTGGTTTCTACCTTCATATCCAATTGATCAGAAAGATTTCAATGTTTATTTTGTTCACTACAATACTTCCATAATGTTGTCTTATGTGAAGAGACCCGGTATCACTTTTGTTTATCACCCGGGATTAGCCGGTAAGGCCTCCGCGGCCGATGTCGAAGATGATGTGGAAGATGATGAAGTGGATCCCTATGTTGGGGAGGAAGAGTTTGATTTCCTTGCTTGGTTCAAAGAAACAGTGCAATATGCTGATTTTGTTGTGTTGAAGATGAATGCAGGTGAAGTTGAACTCAAGTTTCTGTCTGATGTATTTGACAGTGGAGCTATATGCTTTGTTGACGAGTTGTTTCTAAGATGTCCTGATATCACAAGCAAGGAAAGTTGCATGGATGTTTACAAAAGTCTCAGAAGCAATGGTGTCTATGTGCATCAATTGTGGGGAGATTAAATTGCTTGCGTGGAAAAAAATATGTTGTGTTATTTGAATTTCTATGTGTTTGATGTAAATGGACTATAGTCCAACTATGTCATGTGCTGTTGTTGTATGTTAAGGTTGCTATGTAAGATGCAATGTCATCTGAGTGCTGTATGGTTGGGTGCTTATACTAAATAAACAACCATTGTTGGTGTAGTTTTTGTTTTGCGATTGTTGTTAGTGATGATTTTTTTTCTTTCTATTTTACCTGGTGATTGGGTTGAGTTAGTGATATTTAAAAATTGGGTTGATAATAATTGTTGTATTTATTTGATCCATCAAATTGTTGCCACGCCACTAGTAGTTGTTCTTTGATTCATTGTATCTGAACAGCAAATCTTTTTTGTTGATCATTAATGGAGTGTTGAAGTGAGAGCAAAAGAGTAACTGAAGCTTCCCATTTTCAGATAAAATGGAATCTTAAATGTTTAGTTGTATTAGGAAAGACAACCAGCTAATGATATTCAAACGCTCGTTATTTGTAACACAATTACAGTAAACTTAATTAGGAGTACTATTGAATTAATTATAATTACAGTTAAAAATTTAATTTTGAGTGGTTATGTGAATTCATTAAACTCTTTTTAGTACAAACTGCACCTTCTAATGATAAATAAATAATTTTATGACAGCCGGTGACTTAGTTAGGAGTCTTAATCAACATTACTTATACTAGTATCATGGTAGAGCTTTTAAAACTGTCGTTATATGGCGAGACATCGTTCAATTCATCTTTGGACATGATGCAAGTGTACATGATTAATAATTTAAATTGTCCTACATTTTGACATGCAACTAGTCATGATTTGAGAGGTGAAACTCACTTACTTTTCAAACTGCATAGGTGTGTCTCATAGTTAAAGATAATAACAATCATTTGATTAAAAAAAAAAATGCATCTTAGTGTACAAGAATCAATGATGAACAAATGAATATATTTAAGAGAGTAAAAAGAATGATGGTTATAAAAACTGTAAGAAGAATAAATATTGTTGTATATTTATGATATTTACAACTAGTTTATTTATACACAAAAGAAATGCCACGTAGATCCTAATAGAATAGACTTAATAACTAAGTTATCAAAAACAATTAGAAATACTAAAATACACTTTAATACCATCCTTTAATTTAAGATTTCTAATTAAAACTAACTACACTAATTCATTTCCTTAAGCGAAGAAATTGATCCGTCTTAATTGCCTTATATCTGTCATCTGCTTTTGGGTGCTACAGTGCACAACTTCTAGTACTTTGTTCCGGACTTGACTTCTGAGAAAATGATACTTTGTCTCAATATGCTTGCTTCTCCCATGTAGTATTGGATTCTTGACAAGATTGATTGCAGACTTGTTATCAATCATCAACTTTAGAGGCTTATCTACGTTGATCCTCAGATCCTGCAGTAAATTCAGAAGTCACACAACTTGACATGCAACTACAACACCTGTAATGTACTCAGCTTCACACGTTGATAGAGCAATAACAGATTGTTTCTTGGAACACCAAGAAATATGGATTCCTAGAAACTTAAACAAATATCCAGAAGTACTTCTTCTATCAACTCTATCTCCACGCCAATCAGAAGCACAATAACTCATCAACTCTGAATCTGTCTTTCTTCCATAAGGGAATAGTACTCCAAACTTCAGAATTCCCTTGATATATCTCAGAATCCTGACAGTAGCTTGATAATAGGACCACTTGGGTTTACTCATGAACCTACTAACCATTCCAACTACATAGCAAATATCAGGTCTGGTATTACACAAATATCTTAGAGAATCAACCAACTGTTTGAAGGTTGTAGCATCCACATCTTTGAAGATATGAAGAAAACATAAGAAAGGGGGGGTTGAATTGGGTTTTCCTTTCTTGAATAACTTTCGCTTCTAAGCATTATTCGTTGAACAATGCTTCTGAGTGTTACTTCTAAGTAATGCTTCTAATTAAGTTAAGAAAACATGAATTCTAAAGTATAAGCAAAAGTAAAGAACATGCGATATATCCTGGCTCACTTGAGAAACCCCCAAGCTAGTCTTGTCCACCCTTCTAAGGTGATTTCGCTTTGAACTCAAGAAATTAATCCACTATAACCAATCTGATTACAATCGCACGAGAAATCGCCTGTGACTAACACCCAGTGATACGTTCAGTGATCCAGACTAGATATAACGTTCATTGACCCAATAGAATCTGATCCTTCAGAATCTCCTACTAGGATTTTCTTCTAATGATATCTATCAGTGATCTCACAAGGTTGACATTCACTTAGTCCCCTTTGAGATATGACTACCATTGACCCAATAGAATCCACTATCAGGATTTCATCTATGATGACCGCATCCAAAGTCTTCTTGAGAATCCTGACTCAACCGAGTCTCTCAAGGAACCATCAAATAACTGTTTGATTTACATTTGCTTACATTAATAATACTTCTACACAAACTGGACATAAACATAATTAAGTACATTACAAGAACCTAATACATACTAAAAAATATTACATTGTATTGTAACTTTAATGTGTGATCTTCTTTTCTTCAAGTAGCTTCTTCACGAACAACAACCTAAAGCACTTGAATTGATGAAGTCTTTTTCTTAATAAGCTTCTGGAAGCTTTGTTGATCTCGATGTAGTAAAGAAAAGAACTTATTCATCTTGATTCACCTTATAATATTTTGGAAAGCAACCCTTGTTCTATTTTTTTTAATGATCACTTTAGAGCACAACATTTATGTTATGGATTTGTAACTAGAGATTTCATGGTCATCTTCATTATCTTGTGTGGTTTAGAAAATTTTGTGCAGCATATGAAATTAAACACATTGTGAATCAATAATTTCATTGTAATCATTATCAAAATGATTGAAGAAATATTTTGATAACAATTGTTCTTGTTGTTGTTATAGTGGTTGATAGTTTTTTGGTTGTGTTCCAATAATGACAACTTTCATTTTAACATTGAACACCAACAAATTATTTTAAACATACGATTATTTTCTTATATAGCCAAGCAAAATAGAGCCGTTGGATATTTGAAAAATATTCGTTATAAATAGTACTGCTAAGTCCTTTTCTCTTCCACAGTTCAAGTTAGTGGAGAGATAATGGAATAAGGCTTTTTCGTACTATATACTATTGTACCATGTTACAATTATATTCTTTCCTTTTGCATTTCAGAGGCTTCTGCGAGCACGAGCTTAGATGCGGGAATGTAAGATAGGGTCTTTAGAACTTCAAGTCTTCAGAGTCTTCAGAAGTGCGTCTTCAGAGTCTTCAGTACTTGGTCGTGAGAACCCGTTGTAGAGAACCTTGAATCAAAAGAGCTTCAAGTCTTGGAATATTTAGAACTTCCGTCTTTAGAATCTTTAGCATTTGGTTCTTTAAGAATCCTTTTAAGAACCTTGTTATTAGAAACACAAGTCTTCATCACCTGGACTTTAATAGAAAATTTGTCTTCGGGTCTTTTAACTTTGTCTCCTTGAAACAAGTTATCTTTTTAGAAACTAAGTTTTTAGCATCCGAACTTCAGTAGAAACTTTGTCTTTAGATCTTCTAACTTTGTTTCTTTGGAACAAATTATCTTTAGAAACTTGGGTCTTTAACATATGGACTTTAGTAGATACTTGAGTCTTCAGATCTTCTGACTGTTTCCTTAAAATACGTTGTCTTTAGAAGCTTGAGTCTTTAGCATCTGGACGTAAGTAGTAACTTTTGTCTTCAGATCTTCTGACTTGTTTCTTTAGACAAAACATCAAAACTTAAACTTCAGAGCCTTCTAGAGTGTCTTGCTACTGTTCAACAAAACTTGTGTAGCACAAAAGCGGAACTAATTCTCTTCTAATGTCTTGGCCACGCCATCCATCAGAAGCAGAACCTGTTTGTTAAGTACTCAACAATAACAAACATTAGTACAACAAAATTTTTCACACAAACATACTCATTTGTTATCATCAAAACTCAGAGATGATATTGTAGAACCAAATCTTGTTCTTACAATCTTCACCATCAGAGTCAGAATCCAATTTATGATTAGTTTTTGATGGTGTAACAGCAGCTTTACAGTTCTGCAGCTTAAATCTCTTCAGAAGCTCAAGTTCATACTTCAATTGATGCAAAATGATACCCTTCTTTAAGTACAAAATCTCCTTCCCTAGAAAATATACCATATTTCCGAGATCAGTCATCTCAAACTCATTCATTAGCGCCTCTTTGAATTTGATTATACTTTTTGAGCAACTTCCCGTTAGCAATATGTCATTAACATAGGGACATACCAAAATCATGTTGCCTCCATAATGCTGCATATAAACTCCATATTCCATTTCATGCTTCTGAAAACCCTGCTTCTTGAAAAATGAATCAATCTTCAAATTCCAAGTTATGGACGCTTTCTTCAATATGTACAGAGCTTTATGTAACTTGTACACCATCCCTTTCTGATTCTTTTTCATAAATCCAGGAGGTTGTGACACATATACCTCTTCTTGTAATGGACCGTACAAAAATGCAGACTTCATATCCAGATGCATCATAGGCCAATTTCTATTTGCAACTAAAGCAATCATCAATCTGATTGTTTCATGTCTAGATACAGGCGCAAACACCTCAAAGTAATTTAGCCCGAGTTTATGAAGAAAACTTCTAGCTACTAGCCTTGATTTGTGCTTGCCAATTGATCCATCTGGCTTATATTTGACCATGAAAACCCATATAACACTGATGGTTTTCTTCTTATCTGGAAGCTTAGTCAGCTTCCAAGTCTTGTTTCTTTCTATAGCCTCAAGTTCTTCTTTCATGGTATTCAGCCATACTTTTGTCTTGAGAGCTTCTTCAATACTCACGGGTTTAGAATCTACTAACATGGCACATTGAAAAATTTCTCTTTCTGAATATACTTCAGTGTCTTGCAACATGTCTAACTCTGCAAACCTTCTTGGTATTTGTCTGATTCTTTGTGGCCTCAGAAC